ACAGGACAACTTCAAGACAAAGCAAGAACCACCATTTCCCTGTTCTGCAAGATGCAGAGACAGACACGCAGTGGAGCCAAGCTAAAGAAACTACAGGGACAACTCTGAAGCCAGTTGAATTTAAAGAAATTACTCCTCCTCCTTGCCATATATTAAAAAAAAAAACAAACAAAAAACCTTAAATTAAGCCCCTTCCATCCCAGAAAAGAAAGAATTTGTGAATAAGCTAACTATGTTTTTTTCAGATGTGAATATAAGTGAGGGTGTGTTTAACCGGACTGATACTACAAGACACTTTTCCAGAAAATTCCTTAACAAGAGCAGCATCTGAAGTACAAGAACTGCCTGGCAGCAAAATTTTGGGGGAGCAATTTTCATGCTGGTTGATGCACAAAGAGCATCTTTATTAGGAAGAAAATGAGAGTCTGCTTAACAGCACAAACAGGAAGGTCGACCTGTTCTCAAACACAAGTTGTCTCCCAGGTCCCGATTTTGAGAACAAAGGGCTTGCACAGCCCCACACACCGAAGCAGTACCTTCAGGCTGGCAAGGAAAAGGACACCAAGGAGCAGCATGATGAGAGACCCAAGCACAGCTAACAGCTCGCTGCTACTTGCAACGGCTTCTCCCTTCTCTCTTTACCCCCCAGATCCGTTCTTTTCCCTGGTACCAGCTATGGTGCTCAACCACTTCACCAAGCAGAATCGACTCACAGAGGTGGCTGAAAACTACAGTAGGGACAATCCCTTCAACAGTAACAGCAGGGTATCAGCCTGTCTCAAACTCATCCAGACCACCTCATACATCCACAGCAGATCGGTGTTTCACCAAGAAGCCTCAATCCTGATGGCTCTCGGCACCTCCCGCTCTTTATTTTGCTGCCTGTTTTTCCCCTCCTGAAGCTGCAGCAGCTTCTCAAGGACCTGCCATTTCGTATTTTGTAGAGCACAGCAAAACGCAACTCACCTGGTTAACACCTTTGTGTGGGTGTTGATCACGCCAAGGGCCTCCTTGAAGTTCCCGTTCTGGATGAGACACACTACTTTACACTGAAGCGCAGTCACATCGTCTTTGCTAATCTGCAGTACTGGAGGAGAAACCAGTTTCAGCACAACGACCTAACTCGTTACCAGACACGCTACGGCTCCGTAAGAGCCATCTGTTGTTACAGTTGCAAAAACCCATCACAGAGAGCAGTCATGTCAATTTTAAAGGGTCCTGGCATGGCTTGCCTTGGCTCAGATCACGAAACAAACCCTGCCAGGACAAAAGAGGCCAGTGTAAAGACTGGACTCGCCCAAAGCGACCGCCGCGCTAACCTGCCTGGAACAGAGCTGCACCAAAACTGTTCAAAAAACGTGCAGATGTGGCACTTGAGGACACGGCTTAGCAGCCATGGTGGTGCTGGGGCGACGGTTGGACTTGACGATCTCAGAGGTCTTCTCCAACCTTACCGATCCCATGATCCAGCGGAGCTGTACACCGCTGGACAAGCCCCTCACCAGCACTTCGCTTCCAGGCAGAGGGCACAGCGCCAGAGCCCAGACGCCACGCAAAGCGCGCCCGGGGAGAAGCACACCCAACCCATGAGAACGGCAGGGCCGAGGCGGGCAGCCCCCTCGCACCCCAG